GACATGTATTGGTGTACAGAGCACTTAATTCTAAATTAGAATATACAATATTCTATCTAATACACACATAGCAACTAAGCTTAGTATTCTGTGTTCCATACAGTGATTTGGGGGCAAAAGTCCCATCTTTCTGGAATTAAAAAATGTAACAGCAAGTGGGTTAAAAGGTTTATGTTTTTAATTAAAATTTAAATGTTGTGTGGCTAAATTTATATTCTCCTGTTTGGAGAATGTACATTACAAGTGCTATGGAGGAAAACCCTGGCCACCTGTCATTGGTGTGGAGGAGATATGCTGGGTGCGTTGAGGATTTGCATTTTTATGTTTCTTCCTTTCCTTATAAATAAGTTGGTTTATTGAAAGGAAAATATTCTAGACTTGTAAATATCTCTTTTGGGGTGGAGGCAAAAACTTCTGGAGATCGATGAGACACCCACTATTATAATGGCCACCCACATATCCTCCTCCAGTGTCCCCAAGACCCCACACTCCCAGTCATCCCTCTTTCCTATTTTTGCCATGCCTTCTTCTCGGAGTCTTATTTCTGTTCAGGTATAACCACTTTCTTCTTATTAATATTTTAGTTAAAATTTATTTATTTATTTATTTGAGAGAGAGAGCAAGAGAGAGCATACAAGCAGGGGGAGCAGCCGAAGGAGAAGGAGAAGCAGGCTCCTCACTGAGCAGGGAGCCCAACTGACTCAGGCCTTGATCCTAGGACCCTGAGATCATGACCCAGAGCCAAATGCAGATGCTTAACCAACTCAGCTACCCAGGTGCCCCTATAACCCCTTTCTCCTATCACTGGAGAAGATCCCAAGAGGACTTGGAGTGGACTGGCCGTACGTATGGGTAGAAAATAACTATTGATTGGGAGTTTTCTTTGTCTTTGGTAGTGTTCCATGAATTGTGCTCTATATGTCAAAAGGTATTCTACACCAAACAGATTCTGCTCAAATGAGTTTGGGAAGTAAAGGGTTATACAGAATTACTGCAGGGCTTCTCAGGGCCTTTAGCAGAACAATTCTCAGGCACCTGTAAATCTGCAGGAGGTGGATGTGCCATGCTGCTTTTTTCTCAAGCCTGCTTAACCATGGGATACCGCATGATTTAGGAAGAACTATCTACTCCATGTGGATCATTTATAGGTGAATTGTAGCCTTTCAAAGTCCTATTTATGTCTGATTTTTAAAAAAAATCTAAACCTTGCTTAGATCTGGGGAAGGGAAAGGAAGAGGGAAAGAGGTTAAGTGCATGTAGGGGGAAGGGGTCTGGTGGAGGAAGCTGTAAGGGAGTGAAGGTGCTTACACACAATACCATGCACTTAGAGTACCTTTGCTGATGTGAGTGAAGGAGAGCAGAGAGCATAATGGCGTATGAACTTTGATGATGAATAGTACTGCAGTTGATGTAAACATCAAGGGGTTGGCATCTTGAAATGTGGAAATGCTGTATCTTGGTGGCTTTATTCAGATATGGGGCATTCTGGTTGTTACTGAAATAGATCTGTTTTCAAATTACTTTAACATTATGCTGACATAATGATGCATAAATGAGAGAAATATACAGAAGATAATTTTATAAAAGGAAAAAGGGTTAATGTTGGAGAACAAGAACTTTTACTGGAAGTGATAGATACACAAGGGAGACAAGGTCTGGCTCTGTTTTACATGTGAGAGTAGACAGTGTTATTTCAGGATGGGTCTTGGCATGGCTTGGTTAATGTCAACTTGTCTGAGTAGAAGGGAAGAAGCTCAAACTTGAATTTCGAAACTGCCATTTTGCAGTGAGCTAGTAACTACATGGGCAGACTGAGTCACTTATTGCAAAAACCAGTGGGTGTGGCACCAGATACCCTGTGATTCTGCTCTACCCATAAAGCCATGTATGTAGTTGTCTGTAGGGCATCACATAGAATTCAGGAATGAGACACAATCCCTGGAATATGATCCTGAGAAAGAGAGGCAGGGCTGTTCTTTTGGGGGGCTGCTGTACTCACTAGGATATTGAGAGAGAAAGGGCTCAGGTAGGATGAATGAAGCAAGTCTTGGGAATTGGGATCAGATCTGGGATAGAGGGGCAGGTGCAGCCTAGAAATACAACCAGAGAGGGTTGCTCTAGAGCTCTTGACATGACCTGTTTCAGGTCTTCGAGATGAGAATGAGGCCTGATCCTGCCAATTTTTGGAGACAAAGAAAGAAGGTCAATTGGTTTCAAACATGGGGAGAGGAAGGAAGTGGGGATTGGAAAGTGGGGATTGGGAAGCTAGATACATAGAAATTGGGGCACTTAGAAGTCTTTAGCCTTTCCTTTTGTAAAGTTACAATGATACTACTGCTTTAATCCAAGCCCAGATTGGATCCAATGAACTTTTCTCTGAAACACCTCCCCTGGTGTTTGGGGAGATTTTGGGGAAGTGAGGATGGGTCATATTCCTGCAGTTCTGCAGTCCTGACATTCTGCAGTCCTGACATTCTGAATTGCATGATTGTTTGGTTGGACTTGTCTTTTGTCTCAATGGTTGTTGGCTTCTTGTGAGTAGGGATCATGAAATCACAAGCAGCACACATAACTGTCATTACTAAACTCCTATGGTGTGGCAAATGCTTTAGAAAACCCAAACCTACAAAAACCAAGAAGTAGGTGTCATCATCTTCACTTTACAGACAATAAAACTGAGGTTCTAGGAGGTCAAATAGGTGTTCAGAACTCGGATATGTGAAGAGTCAGGGTTCAGACCCAGACTTCCCTGGCTCTAAACCCTATATGCTTTCACTCAGACAATGGAACTCAACTGGAGAAGTTTAAAAAAATACTGAGGCAGGATGCCTGTGTGGCTCAGTTGGTTAAGTGTCTGCCTTTGGCTCAGGTCATGATCCCAGAGTTCTGGGATACAGCCCCACATCAGGCTCTCTGCTCAGTGGGAAGCCTGCTTCTCACTCTGTCTGCCAATCCCCCTGCTTGTGTCCCCTCTCTCTGTCAAATGAATGAATGAATGAATGAATGAATGAATGAATAAATAAAATCTTTTAAAAAGATACTGAGGTACGTATCCTCATCTTTGAATATTTGGATTCATTTCATCTGGGCTAGTGTTTGGACATCTGTGGGGTTTTGTTTGCTTGTTTTTGCTTCTACATATAAGTTTATTTTTTTAATGAATTAATTATAATTAAACATAGGTTGGGGAATATCCATTCTCTTTTCCATAATTTTACTAATTTACATTTCTATCAGTGTAGTGGATTTTTAATTTTTTCTTTTACTTTAATCCCAGTATAGTTAACATATAGTGTTACATTAGTGTCAGGTATACAGTACAGTGATTCAACAATTCCATACATCACCTAGTGTTCATCACAACAAGCATACTCTTTAATCGCCATCGCCTATTTTGGCCACTCTCCCACCCACCTCTCCTCTGGTAACCATCATTTTGTTTTCTGTAGTTAGGAGTCTGTTTCTTGGCTTATCTCTCTCTTTTTTGTCCTTTGCTCATTTGTTTTGTTTCTTAAGTTTCACATATGAGTGAAATCATATGGTATTTGCCTTTCTCTGACTGACATATTTCGCTTAGCGTGATATTCTCTAGCTCCATTCATGTTGTTGCAAATGGCAAGATTTCATTCTTTTTAATGGCTGAATAATGTTCCTGTGTGTGTGTATGTGTGTGTGTGTGCATGTGTATACACACACATACTCTTCCATTGTGTATATATATTCCATTGTGTATATGTGTATGAATGTGTGTGTATATGTCTGTATATATATACACACACACACACATATTCTTCCATTGTGTACATATATTCCATTGTGTATACATGTGTGTATGCATATGTGTGTGTGTATGTCTGTATATATATATACATGCACACATACTCTTCCATTGTGTATATATATTCCATTCTTCTTTATCCATTCATCTATCAATGGACACTTGGACTGCTTCCATAATTTGGCTATGGTAGATAATGCTGCTATAGACATCAGGGTGTATGTATCCCTTTGAATTAGTATTTTTGTAGGTTAGGGGTAAGTACCCAGTGGCGATTACTGGATAGTAGAATAGTTCTCTTTTTAAATTTTTGAGGAATCTCCGTAACCGTTCTCCAGAATGGCTGCACCGATTTACATTCCCACCAACAGTGCAAGAGGGTTCCCATTTCTCCACACCTTCCTCAATACTTGTTTCCTGTGTTTTAGATTGTAGCCATTCTGACAGGTATGAGACGATATCCCCTCCTAGTGTTCCCCTGATGATGAGTGGTGTTGAACATCTTTTCATGTGTCTATTGGTCATCTGGATGTCTTCTTTGACAAATGTCTGTTCATTTATTCTGCCTATTTTTTAAATAGGATTATTTATTTTGGGGGGTGTTGAGTTGTATGAGTTCTTCATATATTTTGGATATATTAGCCCTTTATCCGATGTGTCATTTGTAAGTATTTTCCTATTCAGTTGGTTGCCTTTTAGCTTTATTGATTGTTTCCTTCACTGCAGAAGCTTTTTATTTTGATACAGTCTCAATTGTTTATTTATGCTTTTCTTTCCCTCGCCACAGGAGACATATCTAGAAAATTGTTGCTACAGCCAATGTCAGAGATATTACTGTCTGTGCTCTCCTCTAGGATTTTTATAGTTTCAGGTCTTATGTTTAGGTCTTTAGGACATGTGTGTTTTTTAACTCCACTAGGTGATATTAATGTGTAGTCAGCCCTGAGAATCCTGGCCCTCTACCATGTCATGTCATCTTTAGTGTTAATCCTGCCTTCCAGTACAGCGCTCATCTATGCTAGGGGTTAAAGACATGTTTATTGATTAGCTCAGAGGGTGTTTGTGACCAAAGGGAAGAGCAGGGACTGAACACCATTAGAAGTTCTAAAGTGTTCCCTTAGAAGCTGAAATAGAACACGGTGTTTACCAGAAGCCATAATTAAGGATCAGGGGTTGCTATTCATTACATGCTTAGAGATGTTTTCCAAACCTTCCATTGCAGGTGGCGTTGTCCTCAACCCAGCCTATTATGGCATGCCTGGCCATACCAACATTATGATCCATGAAGTGGGGCATGTTCTGGGACTCTACCATGTCTTCAAAGGGGTCAGTGAGAGGGAATCCTGTGATGACCCCTGTAGGGAGACAGTGCCATCCATGGATACAGGAGACCTCTGTGCCGACACTGCCCCTACTCCCAAGAGTAAGCTGTGCCAGGACCCAGAGCCCGTCAATGACACCTGTGGCTTCACCCACTTCCCTGGGGCTCCATTCAGCAACTACATGAGCTATACAGGTACCACACCAGTCTTGATGGGAATATTTTCTATTATGATTACATGGGAGCCCTTTGTAGCTGGGGTGGGCTGTGGAGGTGTGGGAGGTGGCGAGGACTGTGAAGTGGTTGGTCATTTATGCCAGAGATACTTATCACAGCATATTCTTTTTTCTCATGACTTTGAAGAACTTAAAGAAATATAAAGATATTAAGAGGTCTTGTGGACTGGATTCTCCTCTGCGAAAGATGGAAAGAAGAATGCACTTTTATCTTGGACAGTTTAAAAAGGGGACAAAACCAAAAGCTCTCTTGAGATTCCTTTGTTCCTTAGAACTTGGTTATTTTTGTTCTTAGCCATGTTCTTAGGCATTCATTCCAAAGTAGACTCAAATAGTGATGGGGAAAGAAGTTCCTGGGTTAAGGTGGCTCTGTGCTAATTGTTTTTGCAGTTGGTGGTCAAGAAGATGGACGTGGTTAATTTTAAGCTCAAGATCAGGATCCCTCTTTATTTTGTTACTTTTATTTAAGGTATCAGATTTGCTTCCTTGAGCATTAGCCCCATGGGCTGATTCTCAGCTTATCTAAAAAAAAAAAAAAAAAAATATATATATATATATATATATATATATATATATATATGTATATATATATATAGTCTCATTTAAAAAATGGTTCTACTCTCCTGGCCCTGGAAACAACCCTATTATTTGGTCTTGTTATCCTGGATTATGTCTCTTCCCGTCCTCTTTCACCTTCCTCATTTCTGGCAAAAAGTAGTACTAATCATAGTCTCTTGATAATGGACTCAAATTTATCCCTACGAATAAGGACTGATTTGATTTGATGATTTATTCTAAGGAGAAGGAAGGAAATGATTTTTTCAGTAAGGCCCAGGGGCTTGTTTGGTGATAAATTCTAGGACTATCCAAAAAAAGAAAAAAAAAATAAGGATAAATTCCCAAGACCTTGGTCATGCCTTTGAAGGGAAGAAAAGAGTGGTGAGCTGGTCCTGCTCGTGACTTATCAATATATTTCCATCCATGTGTCATTTTGGTGTATAATTCAGGTGCATTGAATTCATGAGGGCCAGCATCCCTGCCTCCCCCAACTAGCACACAGTGGCCCTTGCCAGGGAGACCAGACAATGGGATGCAGAAGCCAGAGCTGTGAAAACATCTGAGAATCAGGGGGCAGTATCTGACTAGCGTGCTCTCATTTAAAAAGGCCCTAAAACTAAGATAAGTCCTTTCCCAGCCCTGTGACCCTAAAACTAAGATAACTCCTTTTCCATCCCTATGAAAATTATGTCTAATAGAGAGATGTTGCCGGCTCCAGAAATAAGCTTGAGACCTCCATTCCCATCCCTACTGCATCCTCGATGTTTTGGTTCCCTATTTCCTCCACCATCTCCACTGAATCCCCCTAACCTTGGTAGAGTCACAGTGCCTGCATGTGTCTGCAACTCCAGAAGCGGTCATGAATAAAAAGGCCATATGCTGAAACACTGCCATCTTGTGGTTTCCTGAATAAGTAACCTTCAGCTAGGAGCAATCTTCTGCCTCAGGGCATGAGTCTTACCTTGGCTCTGTCCAACAGCAGGGTAATGGTCCTGCTTTAGGGATAAGCAAGTGCTATTTTGTGCCTTCTCTTTCCCACTTGCAGCTTCGATACTCTCCGGAACAGAATACATTTAGTCATTTGGCAAGTCTTAATGGAACCCAGTGAGTGTGAGGCATTGTGTTGGGTGCTAGTGACTTAGGGCATAAGCCAGACAGACCTCCCCCTTGTCTTGGTGCTCTTTCCAAGTTAAGACCTTTATCTCTCTTGTTCCTTTTTTTTTTTTTTTTTTGTCTCCACAGATGACGACTGCACCGACAGCTTCACCCCGAACCAGGTGGCCCGGATGCACTGCTATTTGGATCTTGTGTATCAGCAGTGGAGTCAAAGTCGGAAGCCCACCCCCATTCCCATCCCACCCATGGTCATCGGGCAGACCCACACCTCCCTCACCATCCACTGGCTTCCTCCAATCAGTGGGGTTGTGTATGACAGGTGAGAGAGAGGCGCTTGCCCCAGGCCAGCCGCTCTGTGTTCTCTGTGGCATTTCCTGTGCACGAGGGGAAGAACGTGGAGTGGGGGGAGCCCCGGTGTGGCTTAATCAACACATGCACCCCTGCTCAGGGCTGCCCCTCCCGGCCCCATCCTGCTCTGTCCCCGTCTCCTTAGTGGAGCTCACGGGGCGCTCAGGTAAGCTAGAGGCTCATCTTGTGTACTCACTCCTTGGTGAGGGGCCGGGCACGTGTTTCCTCTGGAATGTCACAGCTGGCAGGCTTCCAGGAGCCATGAAGTGGTTGACGAATGTGATAAAGACGACCTGACAAAGCAGAGGTGGCCTTTGCTATCTGCCCAGGTCAGCCATTGTGGACAAGCAGGGGCCTGCTCCTTGCATGGTGGTGTTGGTGGAAAGGAGGTGAGGTACCTTCCTTCAGGCTGTTCTGGGGGTCGGGGGTCTGCTACACGTGTGCGTGGGGCCTTCACCGGCTTGCGTGGTGTTTCTGATGCCTTCTCCGCTTCCTGCCGTGCCTGGTGCCTGTCCCACTTGGGGCTGCTGCCTTGTGGAGTCATTATCCGGGTATTTCCCTGTTTGCCCCTCTCCACCACAACTCCTTAGGGAAGGACTGTCTTTTGCATCTCGGTCTCTGGGCCTGCCACCACAGACACCTGATACGTGTTTTTAAAAGAGAGTCATTATATCTAAAATTAACTTTTATTTATCCTTTGCGTATTGGTATGTGTGAATACCAGGGAAACTTTTGTAAAAAGGGAGAGAGGAAGGAAAAGCAGCACATTGGACCGTTGGTGGGAGGTTGGGGAATGTGGTTTCCCCGAGCAGGGCCAGAACTCCATCTTGGCGGCCTGTGCAGGCTCTCCACTCTCAAGACCGGCCCCTGTGTTTGCAATAATGACAGGGGCTCTCATCTCTGGTCCATCTTTGTGTGAAGCGTTGTGCGGTGTGTTTTACCAGCAGGTGTCTGATCTGGTCCTTGAGGTGAGCACAAACCATGTGAGTTAGGAAACCAAGGCACGGAGAAGCACTTGGCGGCTAGCCCAAGACCCCACAATTGAATAGAGGTGAATGTGGGGCATCCGCTGGGATTTCTGAAACAGGAAACCCATATAGATTGTTTCTCTGACCTTAAAGCTTCCCATGTAGCATGCAGATAGCCCCTCTTCTAGGTGTCACCCTTCCCCACTGGGTATCAGGCCCCGGCCACGGAGCCGGATGTCCCTGGAGCACATTTCCATGTTCTCCATCTTTCCTAGAAGCCTGGCAGAGAAGACAGGAAGAGACAGGGATGGGAGGAAGACAGCAAATCTTTTTTCAAAATGGTGTTCCCAGCCTTCTGGATCTTGGTACCTGTCCTAGATACCTCAATGTATGCTTAGTGCATGACATCACTTAGAACTTAAGGACCCTACAAAGCAGTTCTGATTGTCATCAGCACCCAAGCTCTCATGGGCTCCATCTGTGAGTCAACAAATAGAATGTGTCTAAGAATCCTCTTCCTGCAAGGGTGACCCTGTGCGGCTTTGGTCGGACTGGCTGAACAGTAGGTCCTCTGGGGGCATGCGCAGACTGGAGTTTTGTATCAGTTTATATAACACATGTAAACAATTTAATCTCTCAATTCTCCCTCTGGTACAAACGTTACGATAAAGCAGACATCAGTACTGGCATGCTTCGAGTCTGTTGGCAGAAAAGGTTGTAATTTGCTTCCTTCTCTCAGCGAGGTGGGCCACTGCGCGGAGGCCTCCCAACACGTGTGTCGGGGAGACTCACGTCACATACCCAGCGATTTGTGTCACACTTGGAGTTATGTTTACTCCTCCCCAGTAAGTATTTGGAATTCTTATGTCAGAGAGGAGCCCAACCACGCACTCAGCGGCAGCCGGGAGAGGCCAAGTACATCAAGGAAATGTGGTTTGGAGTTGTGTCCGCACCAGAAGTGGGTGCTGATTAGAGTCAGAGGTTGGATGTATCTGCACCTTTTCATTGCCAAAGTACTGGACACTTGAGGGTTTGGGGGAACTTGCTCAAAGGAACGAAGGAACTTTCTGTGACCTTAGGCAGTTGACTTAATCTCTCTGAGCCTGAGTGTCCTCATTTGTAAACATCGAGTTCTCGTAGGGATTAGAGATCATTTATGAAAAGCACCTAGTGGCACAACGCTAGGCAGATAAGGTGCTTAGAAATGAGAGCTGGGGAAAAAAAATGGAGCTGGTAACGTAATTATTACCTCTATTTGCCAATTATGTTATTTTTCTAGTATATTACAAGCTATTCAGTTTCTCTCTCTACCTATGAGGGAACTTGACTTGCTGTCTTCATTTTCAGATGCATCATTCACAGTTGGGCTCCTGAAAAGATTCTAAGTATCAGAGAGGAGCCTCGTCTCCCTTTGTTATTTAGTGGTTACAGGGCTCTTTGTAAACTGTACTAGTAGTCTCAGGGATGCCCATAAAACAAGCTCTCACAGAAGGACCGCTGGGGTCAGTCCCTGTGCTAACTGCTGGGGGCAGAAAGAACAGAGCTTGGTGTGGACCTGTTCACAGGCAAAGGAGAGAATGGGAGTGGGATTTTCAACACCACAGAGCAATGCCCCAAGACAGGAGCCAGAAGCTGTGGTGGGTATGTAGAGGAGAGTGTGCCCACCATGCTGAGGAGTAAAACTAAGTTCCACTGCCAAGGTTACATTTGAATGGGTTTTGAAGGATGAGGAGGAGTTTGCTAAGCAGAGAGCCTTGAAAAGTCTATTTTTCAGGAGAGAAAAGAGCATATTTCACATGAATGTTGTATTTGAGGAAAGGTGATTTGTTCATTGTGCTGGGAACATACGTTCATAGAAGAGCTCAAGTGAGTAAGGCTGGAGTTAGCTAGTGAAGAACTTTGGATCATGGTAAGAGATTTGGACGTGCTCCCCATAGGTGATGCATAGCCAAGGGGCATCACATTTCACATGACTTTTATTTTATGTATGTGATTTAAAGTAGGGAGTTTAAAACACAAGACCACATATAGCTAATAAGTTTACTCTGAAAATTGCTGTCTGTTTTAGTTGGGGGAACGTAAGGGGCCTTTGGATGACTTACAGAAAGTCAGCCTAGTAAGGATTTTTGTGTTGAAAGATTCAGATTATAATTATTTTGTGTTGAATGTTCCTAGGATGGAAGCTGACCACTTTCATCTCCACAGGCTTCCTTTATGACTTAGTTAAATTCTTCTGCTTCATAACCCTGAGATTTTCATGTCACTGTGAATTTTTAAAAGATGAGGTTCACATAAGAAGGAAATGAGCTGAGAAATCGTTGTGTTCCCAGGTACCCCCTAGGGCCTCAATGCCCATCACCACTCCCCACCCCAGAGGCCTTCTGAATTTTGTGATCCCAGTTCATCCTACCACTTCCCCTCACCTCCCTTCCCTCTTTTCTTTGCAGGGTCCCAGGCAGTGTGTGTGGTGCCTGCACTGAAGATGGGACGTTCCATCAGTACGTGCACACAGCTTCTTCCCGGCGTGTGTGTGACTCCTCAGGGTACTGGACTCCAGAGGAGGCTGTGGGTAAAGGACCATAGCTTTTTTGTTTATACTTGGTAGCTGCCAAGAATGGGGGTAAGCGTAAAGGGTGGAATGGTGGCATGGCGAGAAAAAGGTTGTGTGTGTGTACACGCACGTGTGTCTATGTGTGTGACTTGCTGGATATCTCCAGGGGCCTGGGAAAGACTGCCTGGTACCTTTGTGTGTCCCCCATGTGCTTAGCATGGAGGTGCAATGGCTGTGGTGAAGCAGAGGTCGGTGTAGAGGATAGAGGGATGGAGAAGACAGCTGAGTTCAGGGGCTGACTTCAGGGGGAGAGCTCAGGCGTTCCATGTTACGTACACCTACCGGCCATGAAGCAGCCTTGCCACATAACAGTGTAAGCTGATCTCTCTCAGGAGAGTAATAGAGAACACATTGCAAAGAACATTGATGTACAGCCCAAGCTGGTCTGGGTGGGGGTGGGGTGGACTAGGTGTTCCAAACTGATCGTTCTCATCTATGTTATTTTATGAGTCTATTAATCCCTGGTACTGGTTGTGCTTTGGATGTGATCTTAGTTAGGCCCTAGGAGGGGCAAATGTTTTTAGCTGTCCCTTTTCCTGGTCCTCACCCTACTTCTCAGTTAATACTCACTCACATATTATATCAAGGCCTCTAGGACAAATTAAAGCATGAATGTTATCACAGTTCAATCCGAAAAATGTTGTTGATGAGTTTTAACAACTTCTGTTGAATGGCTTAGTGTCTTCTATGACCGCCATCTTCATTGTTTACCTAGTTATCATCTTTTTCCTTCTCTTGTATTCCTTAAGATCCTAAAAACTACTTAGTAAGATGAGTTGGACACAGTCCTACTTGAGCTGGTTTGCTGTCTTGACTCTGACCAAAAAAAAAAAAAAAAAAAAAAAAGGAGGACATTGGTTTTAGAGTCAACAGCATCTGTGAAATGTCTCCTTGAGCTCCTAGTTACTCAAATGGCAGGAGCCTCCAGGAGAAATTGGGAGGGAGACAATGTACTTGATTTTGATTAACCTTATGGAACTTTTTTCAAATGAGAGTTTTCAAGGAAGAATGGAAAGTGACTATAAAACTCACATTGGTATTGTGCTGGACTCATGTAGAGATTGGCTTTTCATAAAAGGCCATCTCTGTGGCAAACAAATTGTCCTGTGCCAGTGGTCTAATGCCCATTCAACTCCCTGGCCCTGCACTTCTCTCTTTTTAACTCTTGGCAAAATTTAAAGTATGTTGTGGAGGTGAAAGGAATAAGTTCTGGGTTCTAAACGTGTCTTGAGGCAAACCAGGTCAACTTTGAAGGCCTCCCGTTCATGTCTTAACGTGAGATCATAATAAAAACTTTCTGAGACAACACTGGTGTTGGGGTGGCTTCCAAGGGCTTTTACTCTGCTGGTTTTTGGGGGATGGCTATTGGAAAATACTGCTAAGAAATACTGGCCTTCCTTTGCTTTGAAAAGATGGAGACCCAAGTCATATTTAAAATATACACAACGAAAGTGATTGAATCCCCAGCAGAGTGCACAAACACATGTATCTGCAGATATGATCTAAATATATTTAATGACACTTCATGAATACCAACCACTTTCTAAAATGCTATGCGGAATAGGAAATTGAACCAGACACATTTCCTACTTAAATGTCATCTTTCTGGAGAGAATCTCCTTGGCTCCGTAATCTAAAAGAGACCCTGGTCCTACCCTTTTATTCTCTAGTCTTTTATCCTTCTTTGTTTTTCTTCAAAGATACCATTACCACTTTATCAATTTAGTTTTGTATTTATCAACCTACCATAAGGATTAGGAGGGCTTTTATCTTTTATCTTTTATCTTTCTTGTTTGCCACTCTATATCCAATACCCACATCAGTGCTAGGTGTGAAAGAGGTACACAGTCAATTTTTGTTGAATAGATGAATAAATGAATGAATGGATTCACAATAGAGGCAAAGATGGTAAAGTCTGTGAGATGTAACACATACACACACATACATATATACACACATACATTTGAACTTGTTTCCTCTGGGCTTTGAAATATTCTTTATTTTCCAAATTCTGAAGACTAAATAATTCTATTTGTGTTTCTAGGGAACACCGTATGGCTCTTCTACACTATCCTAGTAGGCCAGGGGCTAAATAGTGCTTATTTCATAAATTAGGAAATCGAGCCTTCATAAAGACTTGCCACGGTCACACAGCTAAGGGCACAGCACCGATTAGAGTATCACTCTGCTGATTCCTAACTTAGCACTTTTCTTCTTAATTTCCCCTTATGTGATATGGAAGAAAAACAACCTGGTAGATGATTTTTTCATAGAACTGACCTTAGTACAGTTCCAATATTTGACTTTCTACCATCTCATTTTTACTTAGCTACCACATCGCCATTTTCCCCATTCAAGAATACATACTTCTATTTCCTGCCTGCAATTTCTTCCATGTGTGACCAAATACTTCCAAATACTTCCATGAGTGACCTAACTGCTCACACATACCTGAACTAAAAGGGAAAATTCAACATGTGGTTTTAAAATTTGGATAGCAATCAGTTGGAAGGGCTGCTAAGGTGTGATCTTAGGGAATGAAAAAGTTTTCTGAGGAGCCTAGTTAAATAGAATATAATGCCACACCAAAACAAACATTGGCCTTATTCATAAGTAAAACAGGCTTTCAGAAGTAGTGTTTTGTCCTAAATTATGAATAAACTAAGTACAAATAATTCTCCTCTGCTCAAGGACTCTTGAAGGACATGACTTGCCTTTTCCGCATCAGCCTCATGTTTCCACCAGGGGTCTGGGCCGCTCTATTCCTGATGCCTTGCTAGACTCCTCTTATGAAAGGCATCATGTGGAGGGGCTATGGAGCAAGACAGAATGTTTTTACATCGTTACACCTTTGTCCTCTCTAGTACTTAAGAGCTAACCCATTCAGTTGACCAGCTTCTGTAGGCATTAGCTCAAAGCTCCTTCCTCGTTCTTCTTTCTGCTTGCTCATAAGAGCTACTCCTTTTCAGGCCTCAGGGCAGTTCCTAACACGTCTGTCTTTCTGTTCATCTCCCTCAGGGCCTCCAGACGTGGACCAGCCCTGTGAGCCGAGCTTGCAGGCCTGGAGTCCTGAGCTCCATCTGTACCATATGAACATGACGGTCCCCTGCCCTGCGGAAGGCTGTAGCCTGGAGCTGCTCTTCCAGCATCCGGTCCAAGCTGATACCCTTACCCTTTGGGTCACCTACCTCTCCATGGACTCCTCGCAGGCACTCTTTGATACAGAGATCTTGCTGGAACACCAGGATTCTGTGCATCTGGGCCCCTTAGACACTTTCTGTGACACCCCACTCACCATCAAACTGCATGTTGATGGGAAGGTCTCGGGGTTGAAAGTCTACACCTTTGATGAGCGGATGGAAATCGATGCAGCTCTGCTGACTTCCCAGCCCCACAGTCCTTTGTGCTCTGGCTGCAAGCCTGTGAAGTACCAGGTTCTCCGTGAGCCCCCATTTGCCAGTGGCTTGCCCATGGTGGTGACAGATCCTCACAGGAAGTTCACAGATGTGTGAGTTGGGCAGAAGGGCTTTTTAAGCCCTGGGGCTTCTTGGGGCTTTGGGAATGGGTTTTGCTTCCCTTTTCTCCCACTTTTTTCCATTCTGACCTGCCTTTAGTTGGAAAAATATTCAGAATCTCAGAGAAGATTTTATTCTAAAGTGGCATATCTGAGATGAAGAAAAATATTTCCCAGAAAGGGGCAAGTAGGTGGTCTGATTAATATTGCCATCATTAGGATTATGGAAAAAGGAGGTTCTTATACTAGGAGCTTCTGCTGTGCTGAGAGTATTTGCCACAAATAAGTTGATCAGAGTCAACTTCTATCTGGTGACACAGTTGAATTTCTGCTTCCTTGTTGTAACTTTTGGATAATGTGCCACTGCTCCACTAACATTTGAGGACTGTAGTCAACTCTTCCATAGCTAAGCAAGGAAGCCAAGGGTCCTCCAGATCCTGCTTCATTTCAAGACTCATTTCTGATTTGTGTTTCATGTATCCCTCTCTTCCTCCTCCCTCTTTCTCTCTCTCTCTTTCTTCCAAATCCCCTCTTCCTCTTTCTTCTATTCCTTCTATGCTTAGTGAGTTCTGCCATGTTCCTGGTACTGTGTGCTCAGTGGTGGGGACACAGACTAAGGTAGGGTCATTGGCTCAGAAGAGTTCAAGGTCTAAAGTGGGAGGTTAATATCTCCAAAGGCAAATTACCCCTGCCTTGTCATTTTCCTCAGAGACTCGGGGGTAAAATGAAAGTTGTATTGGAAGTGTTATATTAGTTTTTGCTGCATTGGAAATAATCACAGAACAAAGTGGGTTAAACCAACAAACACTGTTTTTCATGATTCTATGGGTTGGCTCTCATCAGGACTGGCATGGTGGATGGTCTGAGACAAGCTCGTATGCATACTGGGGGCTAGAGTGCCCAGGTAGATGAAGGCCTCTTTCCCTATGACCTCTCATTCCCTGGTAGGCTTTGTGTGGGCTTGTTCTTGTGGTGGTGGGAGGGCTCTAGCAGCAGAGAGGGCAAGCCCCCCACACGCTCAGACATTACTCACGATAATGTCCCTCTGGCCAAAGCAACTCACACAGCTAATTCCAGATTCAAGAGCTGGCAAAATGGGCTCTATCTCTTGATGGGAGGAACAGAAAAGTCACAGTGCAGAGGGGCGTGAACCTGGGAAGAAGGAACTGTGGCCATTTTGCAGTCTACCACAGCTACGCCAAAGTAGAGGGCATTGTTCACTTTGAGCTTTTACTACATTTTTCTTTTCCTATTTGCTCTTTCACCCAGACCTAGAAGACATTGAATGGACACAAACTAATGCAAATGAAAAGCGAGATCATGGGACAGATTTTTAAAGCAAAAATGGGGTTTTGAGCTCCTCTAAGAAAGCTGTTATAAAATGACATTTGGCATCTAACCTGATATCCACACACACACTCATACACAGATACACACGTGTACACACACCCACACACAACCTTTAAAGTCAATAATATCCCATTTTATGGATGAGAAAACTAAGAATTAACCTTAATTTGACTGAACAGAGCTAGTCATGGCAGACTCAAGATTAAAATCCAATTTTACGAGTCTTATTTTGGTTCCCTTTCCTTAGGGACAAACTGCCTCTTATAAATTCAGATCATTGAAGGTTGGGCTACCTGCTGCTGAGTTTTCTCCACAGAAGGGGTAAACACATGTTGACACTACCAGCCAGTCCTTTTCCAGCTGCAAGGTTAGACTTTCACGTGTGACTGCGTGAGAAACCACCCTAAAAAGGGAAGCTGTTGAAATGGATGAGGAAATGAAATTGGTTTTGCTTTTGAAATATCTGGCACTCCCAGCTAAAGAAAGCTGATGTGGAAATGTAGAAGTCTTTAATATTTAGGTGTCTTTCCTATTAAAGTAACTAAAAGCCAATACGGAGGTTTTTAAAGATGTTTTTGAAACCCCGTGATATTTCCCGTTTGCTGTTCGCACCATTAAGAGTGAGAGTGTAGGCTTTGTGGCTGAGTTGAAGCATCTGTTGAAGAAGAAAGAGTCTTGGCAGGAGAATGACAGCGACCTTTGGGGCAGTCCCAACAACCTTTTGAGATCTTGTCCCCTAAGTCACGCCCATTCTCGCGTGACTTTGGCAGTTGTTTTCCAATTAGGGCAGGCACTAGACAAGAGGAAAAGGGGAGAATTTGCTTCTGGAAATTCTTGAGCTCTCTTGAGCCCCTGACCTCACTTAAATGTTCACTCTCTCATGCACTCCACCTGATCAGTGTACTTGGGTTCTAGAGAGAGTTTGATAAACTCCTTCCATCTCTGATGTCAACCAGTAAAACTCCATTCCTGGCATCTATGCATTTTGGCAGGTTTAGAGGTGGGGAGTAATTTAACATATTTCTAGCTGTAGGATTTCTGGCATCCTCGAAATGATGGTGGAAGGTGTTCTCACCTCCTTCTGGGAGAGGTCTTCTTTACCTCTAAGGACTCTGTCTCTTTAAGATAAGAATTCTCTTAAGAGATGAGAAAACTGTGATCCACAGACCCGGGAAGGGCCTTGTTGAGTCCAAAAAGTGGAAAGAGCTTTCCACTTCAGTTTCTTTGATGACTTCAAGTGTACAGAAGACTAGTTTCCCAATAGTTACTTGTTGATTTTTTTTAACCCAATCAAGGTATACTTGAAATGTCATCCTCCTAGACTCGGCAGGACCATTATTTAATTCGGTGGTAGCTCAGCCGGTATTTGTTGGGCAATCACTAGACCGTACTGGGAACACAGAAGCCAATATGCTTCCAAACATTCTGCTGCTGGGTAGGACTCTGTGCCCTGATCTCTGTTTCACATAATGTGACATTTGTTTAACCTTGATGTTCCCCATAAAATATCTCCTAAATCCCCGTAAACCACCTGCGAAGGACCCAGGGCAACATCGCACTTTCTGGATGTAGTGGTCACGGCTCATTGGTTTCCACAGGGAGGTCACACCAGGGCAGAAGTATCAATACCAAGTTCAAGCTGAAGCTGGGACAGAACTGGGAGAAGCTTCGCCTTTGCTGAGCCATATCCATGGAGCGCCTTACTGCGGAGATGGGAAGGTGGCGGGGTGAGTATCGGGTGCCTGAGAATGTGTGAGCAAGAATGCCTTGCCCGGCTCGGACCGGGAGGGTTCCTCTTGAGTTTTAGTTTGACTTGTTCTGGAAATTGGGGGCACTGTGTGATTCTAGCATTAAACAAGATCTAGGACCTGGTGGTGATCTTGAGAGGTCACCCACGTCTTAGTTAAGGAGAAGCTCACTTTTACTTAGAACTCACCCACAGAGGACTGAGATATCGGGGCTGATTCAGGGGAGCGGACAGCACTTAAGGTTTCAGAGGACAGCTGCTGGGCAGTGATTGAGAAAAGGAGTTTATAGGGGAGAAGGTGACTTGTCAGATGATGCTAACAGACAATGTGAGGGGACCCTCTGGATCAGTGGCCCATCTTACGCTAAGGAGCTGTGTGACCTGAGGAAAGTTTGGAATAGCCTTTTGAGCTTCACTGACTCATTTGGCCCCTGGAAGACTTGACTATAATGTAATTTACATCCATTCTGTAAAACCACCAAGGTAAAGATGAAATCACTAGTTTGGCTTCTTGAACATACCATGTTCCTCTTTCTGTTTCCCATTTGTGATATCAGCCTAGGTGTCTAATTCACTCTGGTGTATCTAGGACTTTCCCAAATCTAGCACTGAAGATTCCCATGTCCCGCCAGTTGCCCTATAGACACCTGTACTGAATGCTCATCAATCCTAATATGTTAGTTATATAGAGCTGGGGGTGTAGGAGGCTGGGTGACCAGGCACTGTGATTTGTCTTTAATTCTGCATCTTAATAAGATGGCCTATTTTTAATTTCCCAGACTAGGTGAAAAGACATGGTATCCTGAGGCCCTCATAGGAAAACTTCTGTAGCCTTTCTGGGGATCCCCTCCCATCATTTAGCAATCAATAAACACTGCTTCTTATTTTGATCTTTAAGATCTTTAACATTTGGTATAAGCCAAACCTTGCTAGCTGGCTGCCACCTTCTGCGTCACTGAGTCTCAGCTTTCCATCTCCCTTCCTCCGTCTCAGTGGGGGATGCCTCACATAGGCACAGAATGCTGTCCTGCTCCGACTGCCTCCAAGCCTGCCACCTGCCCCCTAAGCTGTTTGAGGAGCTTGGTTACCACTACTCCGCAACCAGAGCCCTCCTCAAGCAAAACACTCTGTCCTACGTTGTAGCCTCTCATCCAGCAGTTCTCTGATGGAGGCCACCTTGAGGCCCCTGGACACCACATCTGCCTGGGGGTCTGGGGCACACAGGGCGAAGAGCCATCTTCCCAACTTGCTCTTATACATTCTTTCCTGTGCCTCCAAACAGCTTCACCTGAAGCAGCAGCTACTTTGCTCCTGGGCCTCACAAGATCCCTCATCCAAACGCTCCTTTACACTTCTGTCTGTCCTCCCTCTCTGTAAAGAGTCACGCTTTGTTCTGCCTTCCAGTGAGAAGGTGTCTCTGAATTGTAGCTTTGTCGCCGCTGGAGGCCCTCCACTATACACACAACAAGGAGAGACACAAGTTGTTTAACCCACTGCTTTAAATCTGAGAAGTGTATAGATTCAATCTAAGGGAATCACAGCTCCCCCAGAAGTCATCTTGAGACTCTAATGTTAATAGATGTTTTTGTCACGTTGGAGAACCCCGCAGTCAGCCTGCCAAAACAAGGAGAGGGCAGGCCCTGAGCTTATGAGCCGCATTCGTTTGGAAGTGAACATCTCAGTCTGTCCGAGGAGGGACACCTCAGCCACGTGTGCTGCTGAGCCTCTGCCATGTGGGAAATGCAGCTAAGAAATGGAATTTTATTTCATTTTAAGTAATTTAAAAAATTCATTCAGTTATCAGAAAACTTTTAAGTACACTTGGAACAACTTGGGTAGGTGAATCCAAATGCAGGTCATGTGTTTGAACTCAGATATGAAAAATACGCAGCAGACTTTGAAGACATAGGATGCGTAAGAAAGAATGCAATATGCTTCATTAAGAGTTTTTATACTGATTACAGGGACGCCTGGGCGGCTCAGTTGGTTAAGCGGCTGCCTTCGGCTCAGGTCATGATCCCAGCATCCTGGGATCGAGTCCCACATCAGGCTCCTTGCTCGGCAGGGAGCTTGCTTCTCCCTCTGCCTCTAGCCTGCCACTCTGCCTGTGCTCGCGCTCTGTCTCTCTCTCTCTAACAAATAAATAAAAAAATTAAAAAAAAAATTTTAAGAATTTTTATACTGATTACATACTGAAATGGCAGTATTTTGGATATATTGGGTTAGATGAAATGTGGTATCAAAACTAATTCTACTTTTTGTTTTTTCTAATGTGACTACTAGAAAATCAAAGGTGTTATGTATGGCTCTCCTGTTTCTGCTGGACAGCAGAGCGTGAGAGGATATACAACATGCTTGTATTAACTGTCGAGATTGTCTTCAAAATAAAAAGGAATTTGAAGTTTCCTTAATTTCTTCAATCATGTTTTTCATAGCTCTGTTATCTTTTCTCCATTTACGTCCTACCATTTAAAATATCATTATATAATTGCATTTATAGCATGCTTTTAGTTCCGTTTAAAGCATCCTCATATCTAATTACTTAGTCTTTACTCTGTCCTCGTGAGGAGGTGTCCTTTAAACAACAGTTAGTCATGTCCTGGGTCTGAAAACACATTAGCATACCAGCACCGTTTATCTACTTGAGTTAAAATATGTGTCTGTTGTGGACATGGTGCAAAGTCAAAAAGAAAAAAATGGTACCCCCTCAATCCTTTTTTTTAAAAGATTTATTTATTTGAGAGAGTGGGTGAGTAAGAGAGAGAGAGAGAGAGTGGAGGGGAGAGTCAGAGGGAGAGTGGAGGGGAGAGTCAGAGGGAAAGGAAGAGGGAGAGAATCTCCAGCAGACTCCCCGCTGAGCACAAAGCCCAATCCAGGACCCAGGGCTAGACTCCAGGACCCAGAGAACAGGCCCTGAGCCAAAAATCAAGAAGCAGATGCACAAGCAACTGAGCCACCCAGGCACTCCAACCCTCAATCCATTTTACAATGGCCACATTTGTGTTATCCTTTTTGTTCTCATGGTATGATTCTTGCAGCCCTCAGTCTAAACTAACTCTCCCACCCCAATCCAAATTAGTCATCAGCTGTGTCAGTGTTCCAGGTTCAAAACAAAACAATGACATTTTTCTTCTCCCAGTATTCATGTCTCCCCTGCAATACATGATAGCTGCCACCAGGTGGTAGTAGGGAATGAGGACCAAGACGGAGCCTCAGCTTTGCCCTGGCTGACCTGGCAGCACTCAGAGTGCTGAGTCTCTTGGTATACAGAACAGGAGCTTTCAGTTCTACAAAATCCTAAGTTTAACAACAAAGATATAAGATAGATATAAGAAAATATAGATATAGATAGACAGATAGATAGATAGATAGATAGAAGAAAACAATGAAAACATAAAGAAATATCAGGTAAAGCGGCGCCTGGGTGCCTCAGTTGGTTAAGTGTTTGCCTTCGGCTCAGGCCATGATCCCAGCGTCCAGGGATCGAGCCCGGAATCAGGCTCCCTCCTCGGTAGGAAACCTGCTTCTTCTCCCTCTCTCACTTCCCCTCCTTGTGTTCCCTCTCTTGCTGTGTTTCTCTCTGTCAAATAAATAAATAAAATCTTTAAAAAAATTATCAGGTAAAAATGAATAGAAAACAGAACCATATATAGACCAGCAGGTTTCCTCCTCACCAAACCAACCGCTTCTAAGACTTCACTCATCATAGGGCTGGTAGGCGTTTTCTATCTTAATGCCGTCCACCTGAAACACTGGCAGGACCTTCGTGGATCTCCTAGAGGTTTCTGAGCCACGAGCTACTTTTTCCATAAAAACATTTTTAACTCCTGCTTTTCTCCAACTTGTACTCCTTAATAAATAATTGGGAATTTTAAGAACTTAAAATAAGGGTAACTGAACAAGAAAAAATTATTTTATACATGTATGTGTATGAGAATGTATATTTTTACCTTCTAGGAGCCTGGGAGAAGAGTGTGATGATGGGGACCTTCTGAGCGGAGACGGCTGCTCAAGGACCTGCCAGCTGGAGGAAGGCTTCCACTGTGCAGGTGGGCTGAGGAGCGCCCCCTAGGCTTATGCCCTATTTCTGCGGGCGTCTCTGTGTCTTACTTCCCTGAGCTTTTGATATCCTGTAACATACAGCAGGATGCTAATAACGGTGACGTTTGATGTTTCTGTTGTGTGCTATGCATTAGCTGTTTCACATATAGAATTTCATTTAGTCCCTACATTAAGTATGAAGAGGCTAAACTGAAGCACAGAGAGTTCCAATAACTTGCTTTCTCTTATATGGGATTTGAACAAAGGAAGTAAGGCTCTAGAATCTACATGTGTAACCACTGGGTTACACAACCTCCTTGATTAATGTTACCAATTGCTCTTGGGTCCTCATGTCTAACATCAAAGCATCAGCCAAGCAGTACAATCATAGAGGCTCTGCATCAGCGTAGGAGACATTCTAAGCCAAAGGGAGTGCAAAGTATCTCTTGGTGGCTGTGTCCAATAGATAAGATTATGACAGATGACAGAGGGTCCTAACACTGCTTAATCCTAGAAAATCACTAGTAATAAATTATCACTAGGTGGCTTTGACTCTAGGTTCTGGCCACACAGGAAGGCTGTCCAGAATGCTTCTCCCAATTCTGGTTAAAGACATTATCAGTGGGCTTCTAACATGTAGGTTATTTTTTTAAATTCCCATCCCAATGTATGCAGTGTTTTTGTGGAACATAACCATTCACCAAAGTTATTTTAAAGAGCACTGCATTGAAAAATATTTTCATGCCTCTAAATCTCAAGGTAAAGAAGGATATGATTATAATTATGTATAATTTATTAAGGTGTTATATACTGTATAGAACACTCAAATGTCCCTGCCATCTAGAGAAGAATCGTAAAATTATAGAATCTTAGTAGTCTTCCTTCTATCCATCTAATAAAACATATTCAGCTACCTGCTGTGCACCATGAGTCTGTAGATAACCTGATCCCTTCGCATGTACAGTCTGAAGTGATAGGGAATCCAGCTTCCTTCCATATGGAAATCCTTCCTGCCAATCCTTGAGAGAGAGAGGCCTCTCACTTCTGCTTACCTACTTCAGCAGCAAAGGACACACCTTGGCAGGCACCATTCTGTTTAAGAATGGCTTTATCTGTTAGAAGATTCTTCTCCCCTTTTCTGGTTTGGAAACTGAGGCTCAGAGCACCATGTGACTATCCACAGGCACACAGCAAGGGTCTGCAAGGCCAACACTGGACCTCAGGTTCCCAACGCTTCCTCAAGTGCTTTTTCCTTGCTATGGAACTGCAGAGGATAATTTTTTCCCTGTTTTATTTGACTACTATTCAGATATTTGAAATGCCTCCCTGTTATTCTCCTTTCCAATCCAAACATCACCTCATGTGATTAGGTTTCCAGACCCTTTTCCTATTTACCCTGACTTGGCATGTTTCATGTGGTCAATACCCAGAAAGGAATTCAATACTCCAGATGTGGTCTGGCTATGCAGAATACAATGAACCGATTACCTCCCCTCTTCTGTACACAAGTATTTGTTAATACCATGTATGTTTGCATGGTGTTTTTTTTTGTTTGTTTTGTTTTGTTTTTTGCAACATAATAGGCTCATGTTGAATACACACACACACACACACACACACACACACACGCACACAGTATATCTCCAAATGCTGTGTCTTCTCCAGTACAGCTCAAGCCTCATTTAACTTAAGAGCCCACCTTGCTTTGTTTCTAACACATTTGATTTCATTAAATTTGGATCAGAAATATCATATTAAATTTCTCAGCCTCCAAATCCAGTAAAACTATGACTAAATTATCTTAATTTTACAGGGCAAGGCTAAAATGATCTAGTCCACAGTTAGACTTCTGTTTCCTTGTATAATAAGCTTGCAGTATGCTAAGCATATATTCCATTATTTCTCAAAAGATTAGGTTACAGGGGCACCTGGGTGGCTCAGTTGGTTCAGCGTCCAACTCTTGATTTTGGCTCAGGTCATGATCTTAGGGCTGTGAGATCAAGCCCCATGTCAGGCTCTGTGCTCAACGGGGAGTCTGCTTCTCTCTCTCTCTCTCTCTCTCTCTCTGCCTGTCCCCTTACCCCTCCTCTGACTCATGCATGCGCTCTCTCTCTAAAATAAATAAATAAATGTTTTTTAAAAATTAGGTCTGGGGCACCTGGGTGGCTCAGAACGTTAGGCCTCTGCCTTCAGCTCAGGTCATGGTCCCAGGGTCCTGGGATCGAGCCCCGCATCAGGCTCTCTGCTCAGCAGGGAGCCTGCTTTCCCCTCTCTCTCTGCCTGCCTCTCTGCCTACTTGTGATCTCTCTCTCTCTCCATCAAATAAATAAATAAAATCTTAAAAAAATATATTAGATCTGAAGGAACGATTGTGAAATGTTTTAAAAGTGCTCTGTTATTTTTATTTATTTTTTTTAAAGATTTTATTTATTTGAATCTCCCTGATGGCTAGTAATGATGAACATTTTTTCATGTGTCTGATAGCCATTTGTATGTCTTCATTGGAGAAGTGTCTGTTCATATTTTCTGCCCATTTTTTAATATGATTGTCTGTTTTGTGTGTGTTGAGTTTGAGGAGTTCTTTATAGATCCTGGATATCAACCTTTTGTCTGTACTGTCATTTGCAAATATCTTCCCCCATTCTGTGGGTTGCCTCTTTGTTTTGTTGACTGATTCCTTTGCTGTGAAGAAGCTTTTGATCTTGATGAAGTCCCAAAAGTTCATCTTTGCTTTTGTTTCCTTTGCCTTTGGAGACACATCTTGAAAGAAGTTGCTGTGGCTGATATTGAAGAGGTTACTGCCTATGTTCTCCTCCAGGATTCTGATGGATTCCTGTCTCATGTTGAGGTCTTTTATCCATTTTGAGTTTATCTTTGTGTACGGTGTAAGAGAATGGTCGAGTTTCATTCTTCTACATATAGCTGTCCAGTTTTTCCAGCACCATTTATTGAAGAGACTGTCTTTTTTCCACTGTATATTTTTTCCTGCTTTGTCGAAGATTGTTTGACCATAGAGTTGAGGGTCCATATCTGGGCTCTCTACTCTGTTCCACTGGTCTATGTGTCTGTTTTTATGCCAGTACCATGCTGTCTTGGTGATCACAGCTTTGTAGTAAAGCTTGAAATCATCATCACTAGCCATCAGGGAGATTCAAATTAAAACCACATTGAGATACCACCTTACACCAGTTAGAATGGCGAAAATTAGCAAGACAGGAAACAACATGTGTTGGAGAGGATGTGGAGAAAGGGGAACCCTCTTACACTGTTAGTGGGAATGCAAGTTGGTGCAGCCACTTTGGAAAACAGTGTGGAGATTCCTCAAGAAATTAAAAATAGAGCTTCCCTATGACCGTGCCATTGCACTACTGGGTATTTACCCCAAAGATACAGATGTAGTGAAAAGAAGGGCCATCTGTACCCCAATGTTTATAGCAGCAATGGCCACGGTCGCCAAACTGTGGAAAGAACCAAGATGCCCTTCAACGGACGAATGGTAAGGAAGATGTGGTCCATATACACTATGGAGTATTATGCCTCCATCAGAAAGGATGAATACCCAACTTTTGTAGCAACCTGGATGGGACTGGAAGAGATTATGCTGAGTGAAATAAGTCAAGCAGAGAGAGTCAATTATCATATGGTTTCACTTATTTGTGGAGCATAACAAATAGCATGGAGGACAATGGGAGATGGAGAGGAGAAGGGAGTTGAGGGAAATTGGAAGGGGAGGTGAACCATGAGAGACTATGGACTCTGAAAAACAATCTGAGGTTTTTGAAGGGGCGGGGGGTGGGAGGTTGGGGGAACCAGGTGGTGGGTATTAGAGAGGGCATGGATTGCATGGAGCACTGGGTGTGGTGCAAAAACAATGAATTCTGTTATGCTGAAAAGAAATTTTAAAAAATTTAAAAAATTTTAAAAAAGATTTTATTTATTTATTGGACAGAGAGAGAGAGATCACAAGTAGGCAGAGAGGCAGGCAGAAGGAGGGGGAAACAAGTTTCCTCACCAAGCAGAGAGCCTGATGGGGGCCTGATTCCAGGACCCTGAGATCATGACCTGGGCTGAAGGCAGAGGCTTAACCCACTGAGCCACCCAGGTGCCCCAGAAGTGCTCTGTTATTTTTAAAATAGGCAAAAATTTTAAGTCCATGGTAAAAAAAAAAAAAAAAATAGAAGCAAGAAGAAACATTCACTGTGTTGTAGAGAAACAAAATATATACATACACATTATAAAATACATTATAAAAATATATATGTACATATATACATAAAATACATGCAAAGATGCATAAAATACATATTTATGTACATGAACACATATACATGTAAGTATACATATATGTGTATATTACGAGAGAGAGGAAGTCATTCCAAATACATGTGTATTGACTTTGGGGGAGTGATTTGGGAAGGCCAGGGGTTTGATGGGAAGCAGGAGTTTAAAACCCAAAGTAGGCTTAGAACCAAATCCTAGGAACATTGGTTTATTCCTGGCAAATAGAGACAGATTTACCACAGAGAGGGGTCTTAGACTGGAAGTAGTTATGAAGGAAAATAATTAGTAGGTACGTGCTGATAAGTCACTGAAAAATCACTTCCACATCCCTGTGGTATTGTGAAGAATGAAAAATAACAAGAATGGTATAGTAACAGTAAATTTTAGTAATGATGGTACTTAATGTATACTGATATGTTGATTGATTTTCAAATCTTGATATTATTTTCATGTCCTATTGTCTTAAGTTGAAAGAGGAGATTAGAATCATGTTACTAATGTTCATTGTTCTACTGTTTTGGTAGAAAAGGCAGGAGAACTTAGTAGGTGGCTTTTGGACTGCGCCTTAGATTTCTACACTTGAAGAAAGCTAGTCATGTCCCTGTAGCTGGTACTGTTCACTCAGGCGGAGTTATCCTGGGTGAGGATGGGCCTCAACCAGGAGACACAAACTCATGTCCCAATAGTCCCACAGGTTTGCGCACAGCCTCACTTCTCATGTGTTTGCTTTTGAAGACGGTCTCCTCAGCTGGATGGAGACCCTGCTGAACCCGCCTCCTGTGGGCCTGGCTCAAATCCAAGCTCCATTGCTTATGTATCGAGAGACTTTTGGCAACATGTTTCCCACGTGTGACACAAACAAAAAATGCCCACCCCACACAGTTGTTGCAAGTCAAAAGGGGAGAAGATGTACGTAAGCCTCAAAAACGCAGTGTTTGTGTCCAAGCAGTGGCACAGTTAGTAGAAGAAAGAATTCAGCTACAAAGAGTAATCAAAAATAAATCCCTCAACTACTTTGATATTTCAAAAACCATGAAGGGGGTCCAGGTGCATGACACATCATACCATTTCTGTAACTTCTCTTCTTCTACTTACTGCTCTTTTAGCTTCTTCTTCCCTCAGGATCTTGCTCCGTGGTGCCTTAACATTTCTTTCTACCTCCAGCTTACCTTTTTCTCCCTATTCTTTTTTTTTCCTTTTAAGATTTTATTTATTTATTTGACAGACAGAGATTACAAGTAGACAGAGAGGCAGGCAGAGAGAGAGGAAGGGAAGCAGGCTCCCTGCTGAGCAGAGAGCCCGATGCGGGGCTCAATCCCAGGACCCTGGGATCATGACCTGAGCTGAAGGCAGAGGCTTAACCCACTGAGCCACCCAGGTGCCCCTCTCCCTATTCTTTATTCACAAAATCCACCCCTTTCTATACCTTTTATTACACAGATGGATTCTACCCCCCCCTCCCATGAAAAAGAATCCTCCTCCTTTAGGGGAGTGTGTGTGTGCGTGTGTGTGTGTCTGTCTGTCTTGTCTGCATGTTTGGGGTAGGCGTTAGACTAGCCAGCAGTAACAGGATTCTCTTTCCTGGACTAGAGAAAAAAATGTAATGATTTTTACATGACATAGTCACAATACTTTTTCAAATATCATACTATATTTCTTGGCAGGGGAGCCAAGCCTATGTTACATATATGAGGGAGATGGGATATGTGAACCTTTTGAGAAGGAAACCAGCATCATAGACTGTGGCCTCCATACTCCCAAAGGATACCTGGATCAGTGGGCCACCCAAGCTTACTCCTCTCACGAAGATAAGAAGTGTCCTGCTTCCTTGGTAACTGGAGAACCTCATTCCATGGTAAATCAAGCCGGAAGAATTGGTTAAGGCTGAGAAGAGTTGTCAAGCGGCTCTCTCTCTGAGATGCTTTTTGGGGGCTTACATTTCTCTCCTGTCTTTGACATCAAATTTAGTCCCTCCTGAACTCAGAATAAGGTAACGTTCAATGAAACACTTCTAGGCTGGCAGTTAAGTCTTATCTTCCTCCCCCAGTCCCCTCACCCCACTTCCCCGCACTAGGTTTCATCCAGGAGCCTTTGGCTGTGCAGTTAGCTCGCTCCAAGGGATACAGAGTACCTCAGAATTAACCTCAGATGTATAAATATCAGAAATTACACTTGAGCTTTGTGTATGGAAGGATTTATTTTAAACCAAGAAAAAGAAGTAGTAAAGAGCCAGATTGCTTGGATTACAATACTGAATTCAGTGGTATTGCTACTACTCCTACTATTATTATTACTAAGTGAGATTTGACAGGTCACTTAACCTCTCTGGGCTCCAGTGTTTTCATATGTAAAATGGATCATAGTAATAAAAACCATCTGACTCAATGGATTATTACAAGGATCAAATGGAATTTAAAATATGTTAAAGATCAAAGTATAATTCAATTTAAAGAAATTCTACAATTAGTACAAAAACAAATTCGTAGGCATACAACTTCCCATGAAATCTCCACCTAAATAAATAGGAGATCCTCTGAGGACTTTAAGGACTGACTTCTATGAATTATAGTTGAATACTGAAAAAAATATTAAGGGCTTTGGCTTTTGGGTACTATTCCAGATGCATCCATTGCCAACTAAACTCTTCCATTTATCATAGCAATAAGCAATATACCTTCCTTTCAACAGAAGTGAGATTAAGTTTTCTAGGTATTTTAGGCCAGGATGAAATCACTGAATTTTATACTTAAGCAGACACCCCCAAGAAACTGAGAAACCAGCCAGGGCTGGTGGTCCGGTTCAAGAGACTCCTCAAGGACCTAGGCATCTTCTAGATTCTAACTCTTTCCATCCTTGGCTTGCAGCTTCCTTCCTCCTCCTCATAAGATGACTCCTCCAGGCATGAAGTCAGCATTCCAGGCAGGAAGATGGGGGAAGTTCACAGGGAAATAGGTGTATGCTAGCTGACTCTTTCCCTTTTTATTGGGAAAATCATGGCGGCTTTTCCAGAAGTTTAACACTACAGACTCCCAGCAACATCTTATTGGTCATATCCAGGTCACTTCATCTCCCTTGGTTGTAAAGGAGTCTGAGGAGATGAGCATGTATAACTTGGTTCACTGCCACCTTGAACAAAATTGGAGTTTGTTAATAAGAAAGTAAGGGGAAATGGATGGGGGGGGACATGTAGCTGTGTCTACCATGCTTCTTCAGTGAAATCGGGCATCTTTCTCAAGAGTTCTTGGTGCCCAAGGACAGGAAACCAGGGGGGTTGGAAAATTCTGATACTTAGGAACAGCTCTCTCAAGTGGCTTGTAGCCTAGCTTGTCTGTCTTCCTAATGTAGAGTGGGAGAAATTTTCTGGGGTTTGTTCCCTGGCTTCTAAACCCAGCCGAATGCTCGGTGGCTCCCTGACTCAGTAGCCTCACTCCCAGAATGGTGGATCCTGCCTGGGAAAGATACAGCATCCTGGACAGCGTTCTGTGGCTAATTCTCAGAGCAGTTGCCCTGAAATGTGCCAGGACTGTTCTTTGGGCAAGATCTCTGGGTTGAGGGTGGGCTGAGAGTTACCATGTGTGTTTTTCTATCCAGGTAAGTTATATCCTGACTGGCAGAGAACATTCTTCCATACTGAGAAAAGTTCTCTGCCAGTAACCACTAAGTACTCAGAAAGAGAGGAAGATCTTGGTTTTGAGCTACAGAATTTCATTGTCTTCACTGATATCACACCCTGCACATTTAACTTTTGGTTAAAATTGCATTTCAGATGTGCACATCCTATCATCCAGAGTCACCAGAGCACCCTCCCCTTACTGGCTGGTTTCCCTGTGTCACCAATGGAAATAGACCTCAGAATAAAAGAAGTGAGCAGACAGAAGGTAGCCTGGAGAAAGAGGATGAGGTTTGGCTCAAAGTAAGTGACCCAAATGGTTCTTTGTGAAGGCTACGGATAGAGAGTGTGTGTGTGTGTGTGTGTGTGTGTGTGTGTGTGTGTGTGTGTGTAAAATCATAGGCTGGAATGGCTTGTCTGGAAATTTCCTTCTGTTTTTCTGAATGTTTTTAATATTTTGATTTATTTTCACCTCTTTTCGAATTTTGGACTTCTTTTTTTTTTGTAAAAAAAAATTGACTTACCAAAGTGTAACACACACACTAAAAAGTGCAAACATCAGAAATGCACAGATCAGTACATTTTTAGAGTGAACATCCTCTCTGCCCATCACACATATCAAGAAATGGAGCAATGATCTCCCTGTAAACACTCTCCTTGCCCTTCTCGGTTATGGTAGCACAGAGGCATCTACTCTTCTTAGTTCTGTCATAGAGATTGCGTTTTTTTCTTTTTTTGAACATTATGTGAAACACTTGAGTGTGTAATTTTGTGTGTCATTCTTATTCAACATTCTGTTTGTGAGAATGCTACTGTGTGTGGCAGTAGAGTTCATTTCCATGGCTGTGTAGCATTCCAGTGTGTGAATATGCCACAATTTATTTATCCATACTGATGGACATTTGGGTTATTTCCAGGTTTTCTCTACGGTATTATGCATAGTTCTACTATAAACATTTCTGTGCATTCCTTTTGGTGAATGTATATAAACAGTTGGGTATATTTGGAATTGCTAGGTCATTGGTAAGCAGATTACAAGCTTTGCTAGGTAATTCCAATAAGCTTCCATAGCGGTTGTACTAATTTAAACTCCCACCAGAGGCTCATGAGTCTTCCAACTGTTTCACATTTTCACCAATACTTGGTATTTCGAGTCTTAATTCTAGCCATTCTGTTGGGCATATAAAAGTGTCTCCTCCATTGTGTCTGTTGCATTTTCATGTCAACTAATGAGTTTGGGAATCTTTTAAATTATACTGGCCATTTGTTTATCCCTTTTCTTTTCCTTTTTTCCTGGAGGGCATATACAAATCTTTTGCCCAATTTTGTGTTGGGTTGTCTGTCATTTTGTTCTTCATTTATGTGATTTTTTAAAAAAATTTTATTTATTTATTTGACAGACAGAGATCACAAGTAGGCAGAGAGGCAGGCAGAGAGGAGAGAAGCAGGCTCCCTGCTGAGCAGAGAGCCGGATTCGAGGCTCGATCCCAGGACCCTGGGATCATGACCTGAGCTGAAGACAGAGGCTTTAACCCACTGAGCCACCCAGTTGCCCCCATTTATGTGATTTCTTTACAAGTTTCTGAATGTAATCCTTTTTTGGTTATATGTTATTTAGTTTCTTCCAATACTATGGCTTACTTTTTCTTATTTTTTTTTTTGTATTATCTTTAGATGAATAGAATTTCTAAATTTTAAAAAATTCCAGTTGATCTTTTTTTCCCTTTATGGTTAACTGCTTTTCACATATGTTATTAAGAAAACTTTGCCTGGCACAAAGATCTACTTTACTGTATTATTTTTTAGACCTGTTATTTTATCTTTTGTATGTGGGTCTACAAACCATCTGGAATTTTTATATAAGGTGTGAGGTAGAGATCAAGAATTTTTCCTCTTTTGATCTTCAGTACATCTAGAACTACTCTTATTCAAACTAAAATTTTCTCTTTCCTTCTATATTGCACTGTGTACCTTTGTCATAAGTCAACTAGCAATATGTATTTTGTCCACTTATTGATTCAGTGTTTTGTTTTACTGGTCTGTATAGCAATACTAGTATTGCTTCAATACTATACTCTTAATTATGATAAATTTTTGGTGAATCTTAAAATTGGTGAATCTTAAAATCTTAAAATACAGGTCCTAAAACTTTGTTCCTTTTTTTATTAGTATGTTATGTTAGTCACCATACAGTACACCATTCATTAGTTTTTGATGTAGTGTTCCACAATTCATTATTTGCATGTAACACCCCGTGCTCATCACAACACATGCCTTTGATCCCAGATAGCATTAGCTGTTCTTGGTCCTTTCAATTTTTGTATAAACTTTGGAATCAGCTTCCATTTCCACATAGGAAAAGAAACCCTGGTGTAATTTTGATTGGGATTTCATTAAATCTTTAGGTCAACTTAAAATATTAAAATATTCTTTAAAATATTGAGTCTTCTAATATATTCCTTCAACTTCTTCCTTAAGTCTTCCTTAATTTCTCCTAACATTTTATAGTTTTCTGAGAGAAGGGAGTTGAATTTTACCAAATGCCTTTTCTACATCTATTGAGTTGGTCACATTATGTTGTCTTCTGTTCTGCCAAAACCTTGACTTACTTTGATAAACTTCTAAATGTTAAACTAAGCTTACATACCTGGAAAAAAAATAACAATTTGGAGGTGATGTGTAATCCTTTGTCAATAGTTTTAGGTTATGTTTTTGAATATTTTAAGTGTTTTCTCATCTTTGTTCATGAGAGGTTGGCTCTTATTTTTTAGATTTTATTTTACTGTTTTATCAGATTTTATATGATGAAGGCTAGATTTGACTTCTAAAATAAGTTTCGTTCCCCACTAGATCTATGGAATATGTTGTGTAAGGTTGGTGTTAATTTTGGAAATATTCATCAGTAAAGCTATCTGATCCTGTTTTTGCTTTGAGAAAAAATTTAAATTATGAGTTAAAATTTTAAAAGGAATGTAGAAGAATTTAGGTTTTCTATTTCTACTTAGGTCAGTTTTGATAAGTTGGATTTTTCAATTAATTTGTGCATTTTTTCCCCAAAACTTTGAATTTATTGGCATTAAGTTTCCTGTAATGTTCTCTTATTTTCTTTGTAATGTTTCCACCTCTAGAAATTTTTTTTTCACTCATGATACTGCTAGATTTTGGTTTCTTTCTTTTATTTATTTATTTTTTAGTCAATCTTGCTAAAGTTTTATTAATCTTTGTGTAGAACCAGCCAAAGAAAATATATGTAGTCTATGTGTGTGCATATGTATGTATCTGTAGGTATATATAAATAAAAGGAATGTATTTGTATAAACCTAAAAGGAAGGAAAAAATGAAAAAAAGAAAATACTTGTGTGCTCTTATTTTCATTATTTCCTTTATGTTTGTATTTAATTTGCTCTTTTTTCCCTACTAACTTGAGATGATGCACAGATAATTATTTTTTTGGCTTCTTTTCTTTTGTTAATATATACATTAAGGCCATATTATTCCTTCTAAGTGTGACTGTGGCGACATCCTAAAAGTTTTGCATATCTTATTTCTGTTATCACTTGGTTCAAACATATTTTTCTAATTTTCATTTGATTTCTTTTTTTTTTTTTTTTGACCACTGAATTATATACAAGTATGCTGTTTAACTTCTAAACATTGGTGGGTTTTCTGGTTCCTTTTTTGTTTTTGGTTCTTAGCTACAGTCTTTCTTCTGTGGTCAAAGAGTATATCCTGTATGGTTTCAATCCTTTGTAATTTATTGAGCCTTGAATTATGGACTGGCATATGGTCAATACTAGCAAATATTCCATGGACTTTGAAAGCCATATGTACTCTGAAATTATTGGATAGAGCATTCTATACATTTAAGATAAATTAAATTCACCCATCATCATGTTGAAAGTCTCTATGTCATATATATATATATATACATATATATATGTATATATATACTATATTTATATATACACACTATATGTGTACATATATATAGTATATATACATTATATTTTCTTGATATTCTGTGCACTGTTTCTATCAGTTAATGAGTGATACTTTTAGAAACTCCCACTGTAATCTTGAGTTTTTCTGCTTCTTCTTTTTTTTTAAAGATTTTATTTATTTATTTGACACAGAGAGAGAGAGAGAGAGATCACAAGTAGGCAGAGAGGCAGGCAGAGAGAGGGGGAAGCAGGCTCACTGCTGAGCAGAGAGCCTGATGCGGGGCTTGATCCCAGGACCCTGAGATCATGACCTGAGCTGAAGGCAGAGGCTTTAACCCACTGAGCCACCCAGGCGCCCCTCTGCTTCTTTTTTATCAGTTTTTGATTTATACATTTTGAGGCTATATTATTAAATATACACACAATTCTCACTTTGTATGGAACCACAAAATGATCATGCAAACTGAAATTATGCAAAGCAAACTTAATAATCAATGAGGAAAAATTATAATTTGTTACATGAACTCAGAATTTTTGCCACAATGTTAAACTCATGTGAAGGAAAAGTTTTTAAATAGTAAAACTGATATTTATTTAGTACATTATAATATAACACGTTGAAAACATAGAGAATTAAAGGGTTTCCTTTCATTATAAATGTCACCAAGAGTAGTTTGAGAAGCACTTGACTTTTTCTTTTTCATTTTATGACTTAACATTACAAAGCTAGCAGGTTTTTTTTTTTTATGCCTTTGTGAATTGTCATATTCCTTTCTAAGTTTGGATCAGCTTCCCACATTTTATCTTTTGAACGTTCAGTGTTATGAACTATCTCTGAGAGTTCTTTTAATGTGAATTGTTTCTTGGCATCCCTTCCTCTGGGACACCTTCATCCTATTTGTCACAACCAGTTTTCTCATTTACATTGATAATTTTACTTTCACTAAATCCCTCCATCTGCATATCTAGAGTTCCTCAAATTGGCAACAGAATTGACATTCCCACCCATCAGCTTTTTCTTCTATAACTCTATTTACCTTTAATTGACATTGCTTCTCCGCATTATCGCTTTTTGTTTCTTTTCTACACTTTCATTCTTATTGGCCAATTCCCCCCTTAATTATCCGTTTCTGTAAAACGTCATGTAGGTTTATCACTGAGAAACAAGGAAGCAACACAACTACACACTCTTCTATCTCTGCATGAACTGCCTAACAGGTAACAGTGACCCATTAATGACAGACGTTGAAAGAAGTGAGTGGTCACTAATCATAGTGATTTGTGGATTGAAGGACTGTCAACTTACTGTACTTACAATTAATATAATGCTAACTGAAATTTAAATCACATCATTGGGACTCT